GTCCTGCTGTCTTGAGTCCCACCCTCTGGATCCTGATCCTGAGGAAGCTGGTGGGAGAGAAGGAGCACTGGACCCGGAAGAACAGCATAGACTTTTGTCCAGGTTTGACCACTGTGTGGCTATGCATCTCTGAGGAAGGCCGTTAGCCTCTCTGGAAGAAGGCTTAAGAAACCAAGCTCACAGGATTGTTTTATGACTCAAGTGTGATAACATGTGTGGAACACACTTCTTCTGATTTAAGTTATTGTTGTTAACCCGGTATGTGAAGGCAGTTACAAGCATGCCCAGAGCTATGTGCCATTCCTACCCCATGGGCTGTGGCTCTAACCCTTGCAAGTCAGAATACAAGTAATTTAGTGAAATTACTATGCAGATAGCCTTGAATCTAGTTTATTTTAAAAAATCATATCATTTAGAAACATCTATTCGGTGAGGACAGTTTAATCATTGGCCAGTTGAATACAAGCACATTTCTCTACTCCAACAAGGAAGATCGGTTCCACTTGGTGCCTACCACCTCAACTTGTTTAATCCCTCTACCAATTTCTCTCTTGAGTTCCCATTCAGTTTTTTTTGAACTTTTACTAGTCTGGCTTCACCCCTCCACTGGGGATGAACACCTCACCTTGTTTCCCAACAGAGCGACCTCTCATGCCTTTCCTTTTGTGGGTCAGATTTTAGGGTGCCTTCTCCTGGCACTTAGTCACTTATGTAGACATCTAGCCTCAGCCCATTCCCAAGAAGACAGCTCTCAGAGATCAGTCCTAAATGGACATTTACCAATGTGTGGAATCAGGTTAACTTCTGCCATCTCAGGGTCTCCCACGAGCCAAAAACATTTACACTTGAACTTGCTACGTGTTAGGAAGAGGACGGTCAAGAATTGAGCTCTTTCTCAGACTAGTCAGCCCTTTCTGTTTTCCCCAAAACTCTAATCCCACAAATCTAATTGATTCTAGATCTCAAGCCATTATTAGTCTTTCAGACTTTGTTCTGCATTCATAATTCAGGCTTTCTCTTTTATATTATTACCTGGGCTGGTTTTTCCAAATGAACTTGCATACTAACAGTTTTCTCATGTGCTCCCAGCCCTGGTCACACTCCTTGCTTGACCCATTTTTTCCTAGTCAGGATTCAGTTGAATTGGTTATTCTTCAGCTCTGCCCCACAAAACCTCTCTAGAATCCCTAGACACATGAGCACCCAAGAAGAAAGTGGGCCAGGGGTCCTCAATAACCCATTGCTATCTGCAGGCAGGCTCTGATTCTGTTTTTCAGTATCCTGTCTCCTGCCTCGGTACCACCTCTGCCTTCTTCTCACCTCTTCTCTGCTTAAACTATATAGATACCACGTGTCTCCAGTTGCCATGGAAGCCTGTGATGCAGACACAGGTAAGACAGACAGATTATGCTTTCTCTCTCCACGTGACCGTGTCTCGTCTTGGCCCATGGTTAATGGCCCAGAGTCAAATGGAGGCCACATTCTCATCCCCAAGAACCAGGACACTTGACCCTCTGCCTCCTAGATCCCTCCTGAGGGTCCCAGCATCTTATTTTCCCTTCACTCCATTGTCAATGTGTGCTCTCCTCCAGAACCAAGACTTTCTAGCCTTCCAGTCACCGTTCTCACCAGCCTGAGTGCACTTCCATATGAACTACAGAATGGGGGCGGGGGGGGGGAGAAACCTCTCTCTCCTGGGTTTAATCATATCATTTTAGCTTTATGCTTTCCTTGGATGCTCATGGCGAGGCTGATTTGGTTAAGAAAGGTGAGAAATGGGGAGATGGACCACTCCTTTACCCCTAGAATCCAGGAGAGGTTGTCTGTCCCACTGCATCCCACCACAGTCCATGTGCACACCAATCCACTGGGTTACACTGAGGGTCTCAGGCCTCATTTGAATTAGTTTTCCTGCTGGCAGGTAGGTAGCACATGCCTAGCCTGTCCCCTCCCATTAGTCACCTGTGTCGGCTCTAGGGCCAGGGTTAGAAGAACCACCGGGGAGGCAGGGGTTTCTGTAATGTGAGCCGTTTTTTCAGAAAGCTGGATTTATGCTCTCACTTTGGAGAGCAGTTTGGCAGCTGCTGCTGAAAGTGCACATGCCACGCCAGCCAGTGTTTCTCTTCTTCAAGGGACTTTCCCACATATGTACCAAGAGACATGCAACGGGATTTCAAAGCAGCATTTTTATACTAGTGAAAAATGGGAGATTATCTAAATGTTTATAAGGAGTAGAATGGAAAAGTAAAATGGCTTAGGAATACAAGGGAATGTTATTTAGCAGATAAAAGAAATGGATGAGATCTGTAAGCTTCAATGATAAGTATCAAAAGGGTAGACATCAAACGTATAATGTTGGGTAGAAAATGGCTAATTACAGAATGACTTGTACCATATGATATTTATAAACATTAAAACACACAAAAGAATACTAAACACTGTGTATGAATTTAAGCACAAAGTATATTTCATCGACAGAACATGGACCTGCCCATGGACAGGAGAGAGACATTTAAATTCCAAAATAATGCTGCCTCTGACAAAGAGGTCCAGTGAGGTAGAACATCAACTTTAAAAATCTCAAGAAAGATGGCTGTTAATAAACACCCTTTCTACATGATTGGTATATCATATTTTTTATGTTTCTAAGTTTCCATACTTAAAGATTTTTTTAATACTTAAAGTTTTAATCCAAATTTTAAAAATAATGGAGAGCCCTAGCTGACTTGGCTCCATGGATAGAGTGTGGGCCTGTGGACTGAAGAGTCCCAGGTTTGATTCCAGTCAAGGACACATGCCCTGGTTGCAGTCTCAATCCCCAGTTGGGGCGTGCAGGAGGCAGCCAATCAATGAGTCTCTCTCATCATTGATGTTTCTATATCTCTCTCTTCCTTTCCCTTCCTCTCTGAAATCAATAAAAATATATTTTAAAAAAATTATGAAGAAAGACTTGCTGCAACTAGGATCGCTTGTGAAGTGACATATTCTTTGGTTGTAAGTGACAGAAAACCAAGACAAACTGGCTTAAGCTAAAAGAGGGAGAGTTTTTGGTTTTCAGATTTGAAAAGCCCAGCGCATGTCTACTTTGAAGGGACATGCAGTTCCTGGACTTGGTGCCTTGCCGTTCTGCCTTCCCTTCAGGTCAGCTTCAGCCTCGTTCCTCAAAATGACCCCCAAAATGATGGCCAGCATTCAATGCAGGTTCAGCTCAGTAGAAGAGAGGTTCTTTCTCCTAAATGGTTGAAAGAGAATGGCTGGGCTAACTTTCCTTGGCCTAGAATGAGACAAATGCACATGTGTGAACCATTGCTGTGGTCAGAGGGAACTAGGCTGACGGCCTGGATTCTGGGTCACACAGCTACTCCTGGAACATGAAGTGGGGAATGTGGTCAGTTCCACCAAACCACATCACAGAGGTGGGGTGCTTTCAAGAAGGCCAAAGCAACAAATGCCCACCTCTAATTGCCGGCTCATTCTCGAAAGGGGATTGCAGTGCACGTTGTAATAAAACTATAATCTTCAAGTCCACTGATCAGTTCTGTCTTCCCCCTCCCTCTTAAGCACTCTGCACCCTGCCCCAGTTGTGAGGTTCCCACATGGGAGTGTGTTGTAAAAGCCAGAGCTAGGCTTTCAGTAGATTTCCTGTAAGCCATCAGCTCTCCACCCAAGTCGGGGTGGGGCCAAGTGAGCTGGTTAGAATCTCAGAGCAGGATTTTGCAGGGAGGATGGAGTTGCAAGAAGGATGGAGTGGTGGATTGAAAATGCATGTTTAATATAATTTTATCTTTGCCAAGTAATACTTGTTCAATGGAACACAGCTGCAGACAATTAGCAACGTGTCAAAAAGGCATGCATTCAATGGCTATGAAGTGCTGGTTAGGGGTGTGCTATCTTAAGGAGAAAACCCTCACATAACTTTTCATAAACTAAATGACTTCATGTCAGAGGCCCTGTCCAGTGGAAGCTCACCCTCTCCACCATAAACCTGAAAACCAGAGGGAGCTGAGGAAAACCGTCCTTTTTGCCCCCTAACACAATGCTCCTAGAACCACTTACTGTATTTACCAGCAGGTGTAACAGTCATTAACAGTCATTGCACTGAACTAGATTATATGAACTCGATGTTATCGAGTACTCCAGCAACAACATTGAGGTTTTGTGATACCCCCCTTCCAAAATAAAGCACACAAAGTGTATTTATAACTTTTGGCCTCACAAGCTTTCTTTAACCTTTGCTGACAAGAATCAAATATACAGGTTTTCTTCAGGATAATATTGGGCAAATATAATTAGTATTGAGCGAGCCTTCCCCTTCTCCAGTTTATACAGTTTCTAAGATCAGAAACCCTACTTATATTTTGGATCAATACACTACCGCCTAAATGTAGATGAAGTATTCCTGCCCCTTAAAACAAGAAGAAAACTCCAGCCTAGCCCATGTGGCTCCGTGGTTGAGCGTCAACCTATGAACTAGGATTCCAATTAGGGCACATGCCCACGTTGTGGGCTCAGTCCCCAGTAGGGGCTGTGCAGAAGGCAGCTGATTGACGATTGTCATCATTGATGTGTCCATCTCTCTTTCTCTGCCTTCTTCTCTGAAATCAATAATAATATTTCTTTTTTAAAAAAGAAGAAAATCCTGACTAGTATAAGGTGCTGAATACTCTGACTGAGCCAAGCATTATATCTTGTCCATCTGAACCAGTTTTGTTACTCTTTATCTCATGACAGAATAGTTCTAGTTTTTGTCTCTGATTTAATACATCAAAAAGCTTTGCATTTGACCAGGCTGATTTTAAACCACATCTCTGGAAGTTTAAGCACCATTAAAGTTTAACTCAAAATTTTGAATCATTAAACGCTTATACACCAGGAAGCAAAATGTTTTCTACAGTATATGCAATTGTGTTCAGCAGAACAAGCGTAGTCTATCATGTCACTAGATCGGCTGCTCACAAGCTTGTTGATCTTAGGGTCCCTTCATACTCTTAAAACTTAATGAGCTTTTCCGCCCGCTCCCCCCTCCCCCCGAGCGCCGCTCCGGCTGCACCACGCTCGCGCCGAGCTCCGTGCTCCTCTCAGGCAGCGCCTCCGTCTCCTTCCAGCCGCCATCATGATCATCTACCGGGACCTCATCAGCCATGATGAGATGTTCTCCGATATCTACAAGATCCGGGAGATCGCGGACGGGCTGTGCCTGGAGGTAGAGGGGAAGATGGTCAGTAGGACAGAGGGTAACATTGATGACTCGCTCATTGGTGGAAATGCCTCCGCTGAAGGCCCCGAGGGCGAAGGTACCGAAAGCACAGTAGTCACTGGTGTTGACATTGTCATGAACCATCACTTGCAGGAAACCAGCTTCACAAAAGAAGCCTACAAGAAGTACATCAAAGATTACATGAAATCAATCAAAGGGAAGCTTGAAGAACAGAGACCAGAAAGAGTAAAGCCTTTCATGACGCAATAAATATATTTTGGAAGCATCTTTGACCACCCAATGCAGCGATTTCCAAACTAAAGGTGAATCGGCCTCGGGGCCTGGGGAAACCGTCTCCTGGACTTGTCTCACTATTTCAACCAGAGCAGTTCCAAGGGGAAATGTTACACATGTTTTCTTCCACCAGCCCTTTGTTTTTAATATCCTAATTAAAAAAAAAAAAAAAAAAAAAAACTTAATGAGTACCCCAAGGAGTTTTTTTATGTTTATGTAGGTTATAGCTATTGACATTTACCATATTAGAAATTAAAACAGAAAATTCAAAAAATATGTGTTATTTTAAAATAATAATAATCATAAAAATCATAATATTAACACAAATAACATTTTTTATAAAAATAACTAAAATTTCAAAAACCATTGAGAAGAGTGGCATTGTTTTACAATTTTGTAAGTCCTTTTAGTGTCCAGTGTAATAGAAGGCAGATGTGTATTCTCATATCTGCTCTATGTTCAGTTTGTCGTGATATCACATCAGGCAGCCTCTGAAAACTCCACTGTGAATCCAGTGGTAAAGGAATGAAAATGAAAAAAGCAATTAGCATCTTAGTACCATTATGGAAATAGTTTTGACCTCACCGATCCCTTAAAGGGTCTCTAGACCCCACAGGGGTCTTCAGACCACACTTGGAAAATTGCTGTACAGGTTTCACATACTTGAATGTCTTCTGAATCGGTTTTCCTCAATGTGTGGTTTTTAAGGGAAGAAGGAAGAAAGGGAGGGAGGAACAAACAAAGGAATTCCTAACATTAAATTGTCTAAAATAACCACTAAAATAATAAAAACAGAGTATATAATTTCTAGTCAGCCATGTGAGAAATGTATATGAGAATATGAGAAATGAAAAGAAATAAAAAAACTTAACCCCAAAGGAAGGCAAGAGAAGAAAAAAAGATATTAAGATGAGGAAAATTGAAAGCACAGAATAAGATGGTAGATGTTTCATTTTTTTACTTTTTACTGTGATGATACATTTGGCCAATACAATTGTTATTTGGGCAAGTATAGTATGTATGTATATTTCAGTATGTGTGTATGCTTCAACGGAAGTGTTTAACAATAAGATGGCAGAAATAAATTGAATTGAATACATAAATTGAAAATTATTAGTGTATAAATATAAATGAATAAAATGTTATAATTAAAAGACAAATACAAATTGTCTGACCAGATTACAAAAAATCCAACCACTCTATATATTGCTTATTAAAAGATGCATTTAAAACATAAGGATATAGGAAGTTTGAAAGTAAAAGTATGCAAAGATATACTAGGCAAATACTAACAAAAAAGCACAACAAAAACACAAATTAATGTGGCTATATTAAATATCAGAAAAAATAGTTTTTGAGGTAAAAAGAATGATGAAAAGTTTGATTCACCAGGAAGACAGAAGTACAAGGAGAAATAGACAAATTCACCCTCATAGAGGAGCATGTAATACATGTTTCATGTAACTGATAGATCAAATAGACAAAATAAATAAAGGTTATAAAGATTTAAACATCACAAATTAAAAAGTTTGATCTAAGGCACATGGAGAGAAGACCAGCACACAACAATTGCAGAATCTGTATTCTTATCACACCTAGAACATTAGATTGACTATATCCTAGGCCCATGGTCAGCAAACTGTGGCTCGCGTGAGGCACATGCGGCTCTTTGGCCCCTTGAATGTGGCTCTTCCACAAAATACCACGTGTGGGCACGCGTACAGTGTGATTGAAACTTTGAGCAGAAGTCGGTTTTTGGCCTGGGCGAGTCTATTTTAAAGAAGCACTGTTGATACTTGGCTCTGTTGACTAATGAGTTTGCCGACCACTGTGTGACCTAAGGCTAAAAAGTAATTTTCAACAAATTTTAAAGAACTGGTACCATTCAAACAATATTCTCTGACCATAGTGCAATCTAGTCAGAGATGAATAACAGAAGGATCAAGAGAAAAAATCCATATGCTTGGGAAATTAAGAAACATTTCTAAACTCAAGAGTCAAAGAAAAAATTATATGGAAATTAGAGCTGATTTAGAACTCAAAATAATGAAAATTATGCAAATCAAAACTTGTAGTATTCCACTAGAACTGCTCTTTGAGGGAGATCTATAGTCTTACATACTTATATTAGCAAAGGGGGAAATTAATGAGCATCCAACTTATAAAAGTTAGAAAAGGAACTGAAAAGACTCAATACAGTAGAAAAAAGAAAACAATAAGATAAAAATTAGACATTAATAAAACAGAAAACAAAAATAAATGCCAGAGAAGATCTTGTTTTCTTGAAAAGAAAAATTAACAGATTCTGGCAAGGCAGATCAAGGAAAAAAGAAGACACAAATACAGAATGTTGGGGATTAAAAATAGGGCATAACTACTCAAAAGTATCCTGACTCAAATTTCTTTCTTTCTTTTTTAAAGCAAATATCCTCTTTGGATTTTAATATATATATATATATATATACATATATATATACATACATATATATACATACATACATATATATATACATATGTATATATTATATATATTTTAGCGAGAAAGAGAGAGGGAGAGGGAGATAGAAACATCAATGATGAGAGAGACTCGAGGATCAGCTGCCTTCTTCCTACATGTCCCCTACGGGGGCACAAGCCTGCAACCCGGGTATGTGCCCTTGACCGGAATCAAACCTGGCACCCTTCAGTCCAAAGGCTGACGCTCTATCCACTGAACCTAACCAGCTAGGGCCTGACTCGAATTTTTCACACTAGCACTGATTCTTCTCTCAAGAACTCTTTCTCCTCTTGCACGTTTTATAGACCTGAGCCAGCAATTGCTTTGATTGGGGTGCTGGTCCTTGGGGCTCATGTGCAGGATTCTGTCTGGCTCTCCAGACTCTTGACTATGCTGGACATTCAGACCCTGTATATGGAACCCACCCCAGCAAATCAGGGCCAAGGATTAGCAAAGAGCTCTGTAGGAGATAAGTGAATGCTAGTATCTTATTGACACTGAGTGGGGAAGATAAAGAATTCCAGGACTGGGATATTCCAGGATAACAGAGCTTGTGGCTTACCATGAAGCAGTTTCAACCATAAATAAGGAAATGTGATAAACTCCGGGGAATAAAATGAAAACACCCACCCAAATGAATGAGTTGGATTTGAGATGCTCACTGTTCTTCTTTGCTTCTTAAACTAGGCACAGGAGAACTGACCCAGTTGTTTCATTGTTCCCCCTTTTTAGCCTTTGTCTGTAAGGAAGTAACAAGTTTGTAAATTTAGTCTCCTGTGAAGTTGACATTGGTCATACTTAAGCTCCCATCTCTTTGCAGATGGTTCCCCAACTCTTATCCTCCAGCACGTTGACAGTAAGGCATCCAAGCTCTGTAGCTTCTGTAGCCTTTCATCAAAGGCTTCGTGGCCAGCTGAGGAGGAAAAATAGGAAATCAGGGGACTGATGCAAGCATCAAAAGCACTGAAGCACTGAGCAACACCTCACACACCCGCCAGATTTGACTTCTCATCTGGAAGAACCCCCTCCCATGAGACACACTGTAGATCCCCAAACAGACTGGGAACTTGAAGAGGGTCACAGTGGCCAGCCCCATGGCTCCCCAGCACTCCCAGGTGCCAGTTGGGGCAGGGAGAGCATGCTATGCATAAAGTACCTGTAGCAGAAGATGGTGACCACCATGGGGATGAAATAGAGGGCAAGACACAGCTCCAACCTCCCAGGAAGCACCACATCAGCAGACAGGGAGGCCTTTGGCATCACTCATCCCATTGTTGGTTGGTAAGTTATAGGGAAACGATCACAATGCTACAGGGTCCAAAGGACAAGGTCCAAAACCTGAGCAGCAATTACTCCATGCACAGGCCAGCGGAACAGCTTGTACTGCAGGGGGAAAGCCATCTGCAGGTAGCCATAGTCAGTGAGGGCACAGCGCGTGTCCCCCAAAGGTCAGAAGAAATCCTATGCAGCCTCAGCAACTTTGAAGTGCAGCAGCAGCAGCAGAAAGCCCCCCAGTGTCAGGCTGAGCAGGAGGATGTGGACAGGTGCAGGGTGGGGCTGGTGGAACTGCCCCACAGATACGATGTAGACAAAGAGAAAGCCCAAGCTTCAGAGACTTGGGGCCATCCTTTCTGAACAAAAAATGATGGATCAGAATCCTCTCTGACCATGGGTTTCCCAGCCCCAGATCAAGGTGAGTCCATTCTCAGCTTCACTGTATCTTCTCCCTGCTCCACCGAGTGTTACATTCACCCTTTCTCTCCCCCTGAAGAAAGCATATGTACATGAGATTTTTGTCACTCGAGTCACCTTTAATCTCCTCTAAGTTATCATTAAGGTAGACATTTAAAATAAAGCTTTGAGTATTTAACCTGTTACTGGTAACAAATGACCGATGCCCATCTGTCCAGCACATTCCTGAACCGGAGCTTCTTGTAGAGGACCAAGTGAAATAGGGAGGCTCCCGCTCAGCTGGGACTGAGTTCACCTTTAGTCTTCCTCCTGATCTCACCAGTGCCCAGCCCTCACCAGCAACATCTCTCCGTTGCCTTGTCCTTGCCACTTTCCAGTTTCCATAACCTCTTCCCTCATGGAGAGTAAACCCCATACTCTGCTCCATCTTCCTAAGTTTATCTACATGCATTCCTTCGAGTCCAACTCTTTCTAGGGTTGTAATCCCAATGGCCCCTGAGCACAAGCAAAATTAGGTGCCTTGTCTTTTCCTGTAGGCAGATAGATGGCTTTTCAAATACAACAGGTCACAGAAGCAAGTTGAACCTTACCCAACTGGACCACCTTTTCTCTTCCATGAACAACAGGCTTTTATACTTAGAACTGAGTCTCATGTTCAAAAAGAGGAAGGTCAGTAGTTGAGCTCTTTACAAGGAAGCTTGGCCCTCTGGGTATCCCTCCAAATTTTGTCCTCACCAAACTTATTTTTCTCAGAATCCAGATCTTTTGAGCTTCCTCCTCTTTCTGC